CTCAGCTGGCAAAACTCACTTTGGCTCTGGAAGACAATGGATTTTCGCATCTTTTCCTACTGACACAATGGAATCTGATGTGTTGATCTGTGTCGGTGGATACACTGCATCTGACGCACTTGCATTGTGCTGACGACAGCGTGGGTTGTGTACTCCACAAAACCAAGACAAACCAAGAAGGATCGGGCCCAAAGGACCCCCGTCACATTTATGCAAATCCATTGCAGCCATCATGCTGCTGGATGCTCGCATTGTGGCTGTACTTGGCGTCCAATTCAACTCTTATACACGGAAAGGTCTTCCCCGGCTCCAACCAAAAATCTCGAATCAGCAAGACAATAAGCACCTTGCTACAAGACATGACAGGCGAGAAAGTTTACGGAACGCATTGTATTCGGAAAGGAGTGGCTACATTTGCGAGTAGCGGGAGTACAGGTGGGCCATCGATAGTTAGTGTTTGTCTTCGATGTGGCTGGTCGCTTGGTGGAGTGCAAGACGATACTTTCGGTATGAATCTGCTGGCGACCAATATCTCGGTCAAGTTGTGGCAGGGCTGCCTCAAAACAGCTCACATTTTGGCGAATTACCTCCCCATTTTGATGACCCTCTCGACGACTTTGTAAAAAAAAAATGCACGAGAAATATGTTTCCTGTCATGGCTGGAGATGCGCATATCGCGCCTGTGCTTCAACTCTGCCTGGCTTCAATTGCGGCCAATGCTACATTTCTGCGTGAAAATCTGAAGTCGAAGCACGCTGTATTTACGTCCTACGTATTTCGCAACTCTGATGTTTTGGATCAACTCACGACCCTACTAAATACAGGAGAGAGCACCTGGATGCGGCCGACGGGAATCCCTCCGCACGTTGAACTCTATCGACAGCATGTTGAAACTCGCAAGGCGCTGACCGAGCTTCCGACTGCACTTCTCGATGGTTTCTCTAATTTACTAGATGATAAGTGTGTTACACAACACAGTATCATGAGGGATAACGTAGGGGCTACAATTCCGTCAATTCTAGAGCAGGCTGGATTATGGCAGAGCCATACAACCTTACAGCAACCTGAGACTTCGTCTGATCCTACAAGCATTACTCATCATTGGCAATCGGATGGGAAGTTTCATCGAATGCCGG